GAAATGCAGAACTTCAGCAGTTTATAAATCATTTAATTCCATTCAGTTTGAATTAAAAGGAAAAAGTGGGAAACTACAAAAGAACCTCCTCCTTGTTTCCCCAGTATGTGATTTGTATTAAAAAGAGCAACAGCTTGTTCAAGATTCATATTAGTTTGTCTTAAACTTCCTACGTATTCATTTCCACATAGGGTAACAGCTTTACTTCAGTGCTAACTAGAGTGGGGTACTCTCTTGAATAGTAAAAATGCTTCACGAAAGTTGCTTTCACTTAAACATCTCAGTGTCTAATCAAAGTGAAGTACTAGCACTCCTAGTGCAGCCTGAGAGCATATAACCAGTGCCTGTGTACTCATGTAATTTTTGTTACACCAGTTAAAGCACATTAACTGGAAGGTCAAGTGACAGAATATAATGCCCACTAGACCTTATTTCTCTAGTGCCAAAGACAGGGCAACCAAGCTTCTGTACTTACTGACAAGAGTAACAGAAGTTGCTTCACAGAAGCTGCAGCCTGTTGGGGCTGCACAATGAGAAAGCATTTTAAAATCCCACTAAGGAAGAAGTCAAGAATGCTGTAGGGATAGCTTTAAGAATGGAAGGGAAATCGAGGAAGACAGAAAATGCTAGGTGGAAAGATTCCAATTAAAGCAAAGAACGAATGGCAATGGGACACAGAGTGTCTAAGTCTAGTACATATTAAAAGCTCTCAAAGAACTGCACGTCATGACTTCCTGTTTGTGACAATCCTCAACATCTCAGGTTTTCACATTAGTTTCAGCCTTCAACAATAAAGCCGTAAGTCACATCCACCTAACAACTTTGTGCCCAATAAAGCAACTTAGCCAATAAGGAGGAAAGGAAATACAGCACTAAGGATACACAACTTATCACAGGATTAGCTGTTTGCTAACTAGAAATACTGCAGTCTGAGTGTCCTTTCATTATACACCTTTAATTATCATGTGTTCTTTGAATGCTGATGAGTTGTGTAAAAGATTACAGCATAGCTGTCAGTAACTTTCTAGGGAACAGAAAAACTGACATGTTTACTGAATTTAAAAATACAAGTTAATAATAATTGACCTACATGTGCGCAACCTCTGAGAAACGTTATGGCTGCACTGAGGAATTTAAGAATTAATTCACCCTTTCACATAAGATAATGTGCATAGAATCAGAGTTGTTAAGGGTGGAAAAGACCTGAGTCCAACCGTTAACCTAACACTGCCGTGTTCACCACTAAACCAGAAGTTTACAGAAGTCTAGAGAGTCTAGTAGAGCAGAGATCTACAACTTCTTGTTACAATGTCCTCAAAACTCCCAATTTTGTCTGTTTGCTTGTCTGAAGTGTTCATCAAATACAAGTTTAAGACCTACTGTGAAGTAGGCAAAATGCAGTTCAGCTTCCCATGCCACAGAAATCCTCTGGTTTGGTATGAAAGGAATCAGGCAGGCAACTTGTTAGAACAAGCCAAAAATCCAATACAATTATTTTATATAGTTATATAACTTCATATGGTTATTTTACCTTATTTGAAAGGTAAGAAAAAAGGCATACTCTTTTTCTATTTAATTTACTTTGTACATTTAATAACAATGTGCCATTTCAATGGTTCAATTTTGGGTGCCATACTACCAATTTCCAGTATGTGCAGTTTTACTTGGTAACGTGAACATGACTTGAATTTAATAAGTCTTCTTATAATATTATTTAAGTAATACTGTGACAAAAAAATGCTACAGGGAGCATTACTATTCCTAGATAAGTAATAAAAAGCAGCTGAAATTTATCCTTCAGGCTGTCACTGCATTGTATTTAAGACATGTGCAAAATTTTCACCTCAGAAAAATATAACCAAAATTAATTTTACTTTTAAAAAGTTTTGTTTATACTTTTAAAAGCTTCTAGCCAATTGCCCTTTGTAATCTGAGCCCACTGATTAATCACCTGAAATTACAGGCAGTTCTGATACACAGCTGGTTTAGATTATGACACTGGAACAGATGAGAGAAATATCCAAATTCTGAGGGCCAAACTTTTCTCCACTTCGAAAGTCAAGAGAGATCAGAGCAGCAGCCTGTTGAACGTGTGCCACAGCAAACTCCCACCCCCACAGCACATTTTACTGGAGAGAATTCAGCTTTACACACTAGGCAGTAATAGTGTCTCTCTTTGCCACCCTTACTGGTGTTCCTCACTGATATTCTAGGTTTTCCCTATCCCTGGCTTGCAAACACTGATGGAACAGTAGACCTTTCACCGGGACTCTCTAATTAGGATGGATTGTGCTGTTGCCATATCTTGGTACCATCCCTATCTGAGGGATCATTCCACAGGACAGAGTAAAAGTGTCTAGCTCCTCCAGGTTCCACTGATACAGAAACACATACATTCAGACTGCTGGCCAAAGATTTGAAACAGTGTTTATCCAAAGGCCAGAATACAGACTTAGTTTGAAGTTATTTCTATTCAATATGGGCTTATTTTGTTCCATCCCTCAGATGGAGAGCCTGCAATTCTTCTGATGTAAACATCTGTAAAAATGCACTACTGGTGAGAAAAAGAAAGTTAAATAAGTAGAATCAACATTGGGGGCCAGGCCAAGGCATTTAATCTTGTTTCAGACATACCCATCCCATCCCTACCTTAAATTATAACTTTTGCACTAAGTAACATTTGCATTATGTCCAGTTTAAAGCTACACAATTATGATATATAAGAAGGTAACCATACTGTCACCAAGAATGGAGGTTCCTTTTCCAGTGCCTTTACATGCTAACCAGTTGGGAGGTTGTGGTCAGCATGTCACATACACCATCACCCTATCTTCAGGAAGATGGATTTGCAAACGTGTAACGTTTCTTTTTAGTTTTTGCAGAAGTAGAATCAAAAAGCAGCTAGCCAAAAACCAAAGAACATGGTCATTAATGGATGCATACATGAAGACATTTCACTGCAGATTTAAAAAAGGTGGTTTATTTAACTGGCATTGACTAAATTATACTAATCCTAACACTTAGAAGTTGAGGGCAAACATTTTTCTCTTCCTGTTGCCATTTCCTTGAGATTTTGCTGTTTGAGCAAACACAGCAGGAAACACTACTTTCCCTCTGAAGTTTTTATTTAATAACTAGACAAAGAGATATATAACAGTAAGGGGGGGAAGGAAAAAAAAGCCATTAGTAAACAAAGATTTTCAGGCTTAAAGAAACTCTGTTGCCAAGGTAGAACATGCCTACTACATTGAGTTTCATAAAATCATAGAATCACTAAGGTTGGGAAAGACCTCTAAGATCATTGAGTCAAACCGTTTCTTCCTACTGTTTCTGCGTATCCTAGAATTACTTCGTTCCTACAGTGTTTACCCAGCTTGGCAATGAAAACTTCAGCTGCAACAAAGCACACATCTGGAAGAGGAGTGTTCTTCTACATGGAATTATTCAAACTCTGCTATTGCTGAAATTCATGTTCTTCACAGCTAATATTTTCTTTCAGTCAAACTGAAATGCTAGCAAAGATTGGTCTAGACTGAACTGTTTAGGAATCACTGCTATTACTCAGAATTATCATTGTTCTGTGAGCTAATGAACCTCATCTTCATTCCAACCTGCTCACATTAACCTATACACATTGAACACGTACACTATCGTATGCCTTCGTGACAACTGACTTGCTCAGCCAGGCATATAGCACAATTACGTAGAAAAAATGATGCACCAGCTTTCCAACAGTAATTCTACTTTTCCCCCAAAGCAGTGTCTTTTACTTTTTAAACCTACACAGAGCAAACAGTCAGTACAGTGCCTTCTTCATTCATAATGCAAAACCACACAAAATATCTGCCTGTCTGAGAATTCTGCAGGCAGCTTCCTTTCTCATAAGGAACAAAGCAAGCTAGTAAAAGTGTTTTAATGGAAAAAGGCAGGTTATTGATTTTTGAACCTGTTTTTAAGTGAGCTTAATGATTGGTAAAGGTGCTGGACTGATGGCCCTGGAGACTATCCTCAATCTAAAGCATAGACAGCATTCCAAGATCCTCAACTGTGTTATAACTCTCAAGGGATTGGTCCTAAAAGGTCAAATCTAGTAAGATTGTTATGAAAACACTATCTACACTTCAATAAAGAAAGGATGTGTTTATTTAACAAAAGCAAAAAGGCAACAAACAACTAATTAGGTAAAGTTGCTCTATGATACTATGGTTTTAAGCAACACAATCGAAGCTGTGTGTTAGAAGGCTATTGAAACAAGCAGACTAAAACACAAAGGTGACTGGGCATTTTGCACACTGTGTAGTATTAGGTAAAGACATTTCTTCACAATGCTGGATGAACTGAAATGAGCCAGAGAGCACAGCAGTTACATAAGCCATTTCAGTTTCAAGACCTTCTGATCTTTTTAACTAACAGAAAGTTACTACAACTATTAAGGCAAGGAAGTTTGAAGGCAGAAATTTCATAGGTTGAAGGTTTTGGCAGTTTAAAACTTAAAAATCTGTTAACTGATATGAAGCAAGCATCCTTTTTTTTTTTTCTTTTAAGCAATCTCAGTTAGCTACCCTGTGAAATTCATCCTTGCAACAGCAAGAACCAGAAAATCTACACATGGCCTCTTTTACTTGCATAAAGGCAGTTTAGTTTCTAACTACAGCAGCCTTAATAGTTGTAGCAAATAAAGACATAAAGGGACTCATTTTCATATATACAGTAAATGCAATATGGATATGATCAACTCGTGAAATCAAGGAAAACAAGACTGAACATAAATGCTGATCGCATTTAATGTCAAATCTTGTAACTAAACAATATTTTATTCTCAAAAATCCCAGGATAAGGGCAAGATTCATGTGTAAGAGTTTCATTTCGTTCACTTAAAATAACGTACTTCAGCAAAATCAGGTACTGAAGATGTAATAACTATTTAATAAGCAAAACCTGCTACAGATGAAAAGACAAAAGGTGCAAGTGATCAGAGACTGAAGTATTTTACCACTTACCTCGTGATGCAGCTCAGCTATCTGATCTTTCAGTTCTCTGATGTACTGGTTAGAATCAGATTTATTAAGCTGCCCTTGAATTTTTCCTTCTTCTTTCTGTTTTGGTTAAAAAAAGGAATCATATTCAAATTATTCACAGATCTGCCCCTAGAGACTACAATCAATATATGGAACTTATCTTAGTGCAGTTTATTTTCACTAATGTAAAGTTTGCATTGAGGAAGAATTTCCTTTTGTCTCCAAGCAAAAAAAACAGGTTCTTTACTTACATTGTAGGACGTGCACTGGGAAACACTACATATGACAAACCTTTTTTGCTGCTATAAAAAAGTTGTAACATAAAATATTGTGGTATTTATTGTATAGGAGTTCCAGAGAGCATAAATGAAGAGAAATATGTCCCTTAACACCAATATTGCAAAAGATACAGAGTGAAACTGGCAAGTAAAAAAAGTCAGAGATGAAGAGGAAAATGGCATTTCCCTCATTTGTCAACCAAATGCATCGCCTAAGTTTCACGATGCCCAAAAAGATTTCATATGCACTCGAATGCCTGCAACACTAGTTTCCAGCTTATCTCTAAAGGGAACCCTAACATGACTGAACCAAATTTGGCAGATCTGAGATAAATAACTACTCTGATGAAGAAGCCAGTCCATGTCTTCTGCTTGCAGAGAACAACTCTGCCCCTGACATTTACCAGATGAGTAATTTCTGAAGCAGTCACCAGCTCCAGAGGACAGAAGCACCTTGCAATGTAATTTAATTCTTTACTTTGACTGTAAACCACATAGAACCAATGTATTACAGAAATATAACTATAATGGGAATATCTTGTTTTTCTAACTATAGCTCATTTTGCTGAAGTTTTAATTAAACTGAAGAAGAAAGCAGTTAACAACAGGCAAGTTGAAAGTCACTAGCAAACAGAAGTTAAATAGCTTTTAGAATGAAAGGTGTAAACTGTTCCTCAAAATAGAAGACAAAAAGCTTTAACGGAGAGATTTCTTCAAAACATCAACCCCAGGACAGAACTATGGGGAGGGACAATATAACACCTTCTAAACCCTTTTGCTAAATGAAGAGAACAACCTAGAGCACTGTCATCAGCATTGGCAATATCAATTTCTCTGTTTTCAGTCTTCTGTTTTCTTACAGCTAGGTATGCACAACAACATCACACGAAAAATAACTTTGTCATTTTCACTACTAATTCACATAATCTGTAATATGGAAGCACAAGATCCTTTACTGCATAATTCCATACTGAACCTAGTTTCCAAGGTAACCTATGGCCAAATTAATGAAAAAATATTAACAATATTACTAATAGTTCCTGTCCTAAATAGGTTAAAAAACCCAAATGCAACTCAACCTCATTATCTCTCTCTACAAGGATGACTATTGGCATAAAAACAAAAGCCACATAACCTCCAGACTAAAAATACATCAGTATATAGAAAAATCTTCATTGCTGTCTGAAGCTAAGATTCCAGACAACGAGACTGACCTGCTATCTTGTTGTAGCAGGAATATATGGGAGAAATGCTTGTCTAAATCCTTTCCCTCTAAGCCTCTTGTTTTGTGGACTCCAAATTACTTTGTCACCATACAATATAGTGTCAAAAAGCAACAGTAAAGCAAGGTTTTACCACAAACAGAACATAGGCACCACAGCCCTTTTCTTAAAACACAAGTGTAATAAACAGCTGAGCTTATGTTGAAGCTGAGTGCACAAGAGGACATGAAACAGGCATCCCCAAGTCAAGTCAGTATAATCTAACAGCAGAAGCAGGAACATTTAGCAGGTTGGCTTTGGCACTGCACAAGTAGCTGAAAGCTGTTATTGTGTACCATATGGGAATTAGACACTCATTATATTTAAGTGGTTTTACTGTTACATTTTATTCCAGAAGTAACACTGAAAAGTTAATGCAGATACCACAGAATAATTGGACACGCATATTTGCTCATGGAAGACCCGACTCTAGCTACAGTCAGTCGGAGCTGAATGTAGGGCGTAAGCCTGGCTTGCAAGATCCTCATTATCAGTGAAAGGCAAGAAAGTTTCAGTTTTCCTTTCAGAACTAGAGATTTTGTAGAGCTGGCAATTCACAAAAATGCATTTGGCACAGAAAAAAGGGAACCCTGCAGTGTAATTTTCTACAAACATACTTTGAAAAAGGTCATGCTGTAACTTCCTCTTGCAACATTCAAAATGCTAGAGATTGGAAGTGATCCTTTTAACTGGCTGCAACAGAAATCACATATTTCTAATTAAATAAGCCCAAGCTCTGTAAGTTACCAAGTCTGTCTAGAGTGGACCAATTGGAAGGATTGACAAAACAAATTTTAGGAATGAAATTTTAGGCACTTTTTTATGTTCATGTTTCTTGAGCAGCTTCAGCTTGGATTTTGCTGTTTCAAATATCATATTGTATCATTTCTAACTCCTGAGACTGATCTAGTCATGAGGCAACTGACATTAATATCAGAGTTATCATTTGTTCTTAGTTCAGAATCTGAATTAGACTTGGCTGAGAAAGAGGGACATGGAATAGGCTAGATTCTAAGTAATATGAAAGTGGGACAGAACTGAAGTGAAACTACAAGACACTGAATGAAATAGAAATAAAAGTAAGGACCTTAGACAATACTACTGATGGATTCTTGCAGATTTCATCTTCAGCCCACTATCTGCAGGACATGGCTGTTGCATTTATTTAGTTAGCTGATGTACTGCAGGGCAGCTGAAGATAATCTTCCAGGAGTAACTCCTAGCTTTCTATCATTCATTTGCTTCTCTGAAGATGAGTGGGTTTCATTCTTCTTGTTCTACTGCTGCCATCCTTCATTTTGCTTTCAGATATGATAACATTCTAAAGGACAGATAAATTCCTTTCTGCTCCTAAGGGTCCAACAAGATACATTCAAAAGGTTTGCAGGCTCATGCAGGAAGAAATCAGGCTGGTATGGAGTAAGTGTTGTCTGGCCTCAGCCTAGGAACTAGCTATGGCAGATGGAAGCTCAGCTACTGAGATAAAACAATAACTTGAGCTGGGGAACAGAGGGCTACTTGCCTGAAAGACAGAAGCCTACACTCTCCCTGGTCCAACCTCAACAGCCAGGAAAGTCAGCACCCACATTCACCACATTCTTGATAACCTTCTTTCTTGTCAATCCTAATATTATCACCAGTTTCTTGCTTCAAGTGTTAAGCCAAGCAGATGTGCTGGAGAACACGTGCCATTAGGATGTCATTTGGCAAGTCTTTTGCAGCTAAGCCAAATTAATCTCAGCTCTCTTAAATGGTAAGGGTGCTCAAGGGCAAAGGACATAAACCCTCATCTTCTGCAAAGCCATCAAGGAGAAAAGGGAACTGACAGCCCTGCTCATGGCTCTATGCTCTTAATCTGGCCTTAACTTTCAATAAGTTTTTCTAAATACCTAAAAATCTAAGTGTTTTTGTTTCCATTAAATTACATTTTCTTATGCTCTGGCTGCAAACTGACCCAACTTCTTCATAATAAAATAGGCTACTTCAGTTGGAAGGGATGCACAGTGATTATCCAGTCCAACTGCTTGACCAATTCAGACTAAGTTAAAGCCTGTTTGGGGCATTGTCCAAATGCCCTCAAACACTACAGGCTTGAGGCATTGACCAACTCTCTAGGAAGTCTGTTACAGTGTTTGATCACACTCTTGGTAAAGAAAGTTCCTACTGTCCAGTCTGACCTCTCCTGCTGCAGCTTTGAACCATTCCCACACGTCCTATCACTGGATAACAGGGATAAGAGGTCAGCACTTCTCTCTCCACTTCCCCTTCTCAGGAAGCTGTACAGGGCAACAAGGTCACCCCTCAACCTCCTTTTCTCCGAAGTAAACAAGACAAAATCCTTAGCCACTCCTCACAGGAATTTGTTTCCAGTCCTTTCACCAGCTTTATTGCCCTCCTCTGGACACATTCAAGGACCTTCACATCCTTCTGAAACAGTTCTCAGGGTGAGGCCACTAGTTTACTAGCCAGTCCCACTGACATAAAAAAAATTAAATTAATTTCATGTAATTTCATTAAATGCATGTTAATTTCATTTAATGCTTCCTATTATAGCATTTACTTTAGCAGGACCTGGACATTTGACTCTCCATTGGTTTTATACTGTGCTTGAATTGTTTTGTGCTGTTGTACTTGAGCTACTTTATACTTCTGAGGAAAGCACTCAGACCAACTGTATGGATTCAGAAGTGAATGTTAAGGCTACACTTAAAATTTAGAAGTCTTTAAGGTATGAACATCACACCTTTTAAAAGGAAATAGCATAAGCAATTAGTAATCTCCCTTCATGTTTTTTGGTTGCATTTTTTAAAAAAATCTAGAATCACACACATAGGATGTGGGTTGCTGGTTTGTTTCATTTTTTGAAGGGCAGCACTGTTATAGAAAATCTGTGGTGTCTGGAAGGGTCACAACACAAAGAATAGCTGGTCTCTTGGCAAATAACAGCCATTTCAAATTTAATATACAGTGAAAAAAATCAGATAACTATCAATAAGCAAAGTATATTATCAGAATTGCAAAATAATGAAAGGTAGACAACTCTGGAATCTAGGAATTTGTTTAACACACCCTGCAGTGATATGTGAATGAATGTCTCTACATCCACTTCCCTGGGTACTGCTTCTGGGTATTGGCACCACTGCAGTGCCTACACCTCCCCTCCCCAGAAGACACATGCCAGTTGCTTTTACAAAGTAACTAAAGATCCATCATCTCAATTTCACTGCTTTTGGAGCTAGTAACTCCTCTCAGTGTTATAGTTTCTTCCAAGAGACCAGCCCCAGCAGCACTAATGGGGTTAGAACACCCTGTACCAGGGAAACAAACACCCTTGTGGACAGGTATCACCTCTGCTCAAGAGGCAGGTGCTTATAACAATGTACACAGCCAGGACACAATCCCATCCTCTGCCCTAGAGGTGTGTGTATAGTGGGAGCAGCGTGGGCAGCCAAGCAGGAAATAAGCCCTATAGATCAAAAAAAGGTGCTGCTAAAACAGAACTCTCTTAGGCCCCTCCAGTTTTGGAAGCTCCCACCCC